ATCACGTGAGATTTTAGAGGCGAGCTGAAGCACAGCGGCAATGTACCGGAAAAGTGCGAGGGAGGAAGTATTCCGTTTGGGCAAGAAGTTGACAAAGACAACCTCTTCTGTAGGCATGTCAGTCTGCCGAGGGGACGTCTGCGTTCCGACTCTGACTCTTGGAAACGCTTGCCAAGCAGTCTTTTGGTTGAGCGGTGCTATGGGTCCTGTTTCCCCAAAGCCAGCGCGTAGCCCTTTTCATTCCTGCTTCGCGCTTCCTTCACGTCTTGTTCATCCGCTTGATACGAAGGGTGTGCTGGCTCATGATCTGCCCTGCGATGCTGATGAGTGGGACATGTCCGAGACAGTGGGGAGGCAAAAAGAATCTCCATACCGAGCGCCTTTTACAAGCCCAGCTGTTCCCTCACAGACTGCCTAATCTTCTCGTCGTACGCCTTTGGGTCCTCTCGAAGCAGCTTGCAGGCATCGATGTTTGCGCCGCTCTCGATGTTGGGTTCGGCGAGCATGCTGAGCACGCTCAGGAGGATCTTTTCTGTGCTCTGAATAGGACTCCATCTCTCGCTCGAGCTTTCGTACATGTTGGGATCTTCACCTGCAGCGTGAAGAATGCTGATGCAGACCGTTCCATCGGGATAGACATTGGGATGGAAGATGGGAGGGTCGAACTTCATGACTGGTGGATCGTGAGGGTAGGAAGCTGGGAAGGTCAAGGTCGCTCGAAAGACCCCACCTTCGAAGGGCGTGTCGTCTGGACCTGGTAGAAGAGCTTCCCATTCCAAGTAATTGTCTTCAGAGATGGGTCCGGTAGCTGGGAAGAGCGAGTTGGGATCTGACGTCAACTGCTTGTACTCGATCTGAAGCCGACGGATGGCCGCGGACGACGCCGTGCGTGAGTTGAACATGGCTTCGAAAGAAAACTAGGGTGCTTCTTTGCCTTTGAGGGACTCAGGCGGTCTTATGCCTCCTTGATCTGCTTCCGCCCGAGAGCTTGAGGCGTGTCTAGCGAAGATCCTGAGCGCAGCCAGAAGCTAGAAAGCGAGAGCCTCTTCAGGCGTTCAATGCACACCGAGGTTTTGCTTTGATTTCAGGAGCTCCTAAGCTCGCCAAGGTGTCGGCAGTGAGGCAGTGTGCGGTCACGTGGCGCTGGAGAGCAGCTCAGTGAGCTTCGGTAAACAGCCCAGATTGAAGAACCTGCCCCAAGAAGGCAGATGTGAAGCAAGCTACGATGCTCTGCTAAGTCCAGTGGCACCGCGCAAATCGCTCTCTCGAGCTCAGCTGGCTTGGGATGAACGAGTGATCAAAGCCAGGTGCTTGAAACGCACTTGAGACGCTAATAGAACTTTGTGCTGCTGGTTGAAGACGAGGGTGTGAGGAGGCGAAGAGGCAACGGTTGAAGAGGAATGAATGCCACGCTGATGTTCTCGCGACGATCTCGACGTTCTCTCGGGGAGCGAACACGGCAGGCATGCATGCGTGCATGGTTGATCAACACAACAGGCGCGTGCA